CTTGTTCTCACGGCTGCCCTACAGAACAGCAACCGCTCCTTCTTCAACCCACATCCAGCCGCTAACTACATCTCCCTTCGTTTTTTGTTTGTTTGTTGTCACGTCAGCTTTCCTTCCATCCCCTCGTTCGCTTTCGTTTTTTGTCTCCTCCGATTTAAACCGGAATTGCCGTCTGCATTGGACTCATTTGAGCTGTTGGAAAAAGTCATTTCCCTTGTCGTCCAAAACAATGAAGGCAGGAAAATTCTCCACTTCAATCTTCCACACCGCCTCCATTCCCAACTCCGCCATATCAAGCACCTCTACCTTGCGAATGGAGTCTTTTGCAAGCAGTGCGGCGGGGCCACCAATACTGCCAAGATAGAATCCTCCGTGTTTCTTACATGCCTGCGTTACTGCTCGACTGCGGTTTCCTTTTGCGAGCATAACAAAGGAACCGCCGTTTGCCTGAAAGAGATCCACAAATGGGTCCATGCGCCCCGCTGTCGTTGGACCAAAGGAACCAGAAGGCATGCCTTCAGGACATTTTGCCGGCCCTGCGTAGTACACGGGGTGGTTCTTAATGTACTCTGGTAACGGCTTCCCTGCCTCAAGCATTTCCCGCATCCGTGCATGGGCCATGTCGCGGGCAACAATGATGGTGCCACTCAAACTTAGTCGTGTCTTGACAGGATACTTTGAAAGTTCAGCCCGAATCTTCTCCATAGGCATACTTAGGTCAATATTCACGGGTGGTGTCTTAAGGAGCTGGTCTTCGGTGATCTCTGGGAGGTATTTTGCGGGATCTGTTTCGAGCTGCTCAAGCCAAATACCGTCCTTGTTTATTTTTGCAAGTGCCTGACGATCGGCGCTGCAGCTTACACCGATGCCTATCGGACAACTGGCGCCGTGACGGGGCAGGCGAATGACGCGGGCATCATGGGCAAAGTACTTCCCACCAAACTGGGCCCCCATGCCCATGTTGTAGCAGATGTCCATAACGACATTCTCCATTTCAGTGTCGCGGTAGGCGTAGCCCTTGGACTCATCCGGTTTTGTGGGTAGATTGTCGTAGTATTTGCAAGATGCGTACTTCACTGTCTTGAGTGTCATTTCGGCGCTTGTGCCACCCACGACGACAGCCATATGGTATGGTGGGCAGGCCGCGGTACCAATAGCGCCAATTTTTTCCTCTAAAAACTTACGGAGGGACTTTGGGTTAAGAACCGACTTCGTCTCCTGGAAAAGATACGCCTTGTTCGCCGAGCCACCTCCTTTTGCCACAAACATGAAGTTGTACTCTTGTCCCTTCGTTGCATACAAGTCAATCTGTGCCGGCAGATTGGAGCCCGTGTTTTTTTCATCAAACATGGTGAGAGGAACATTTTGACTGTAACGTAGATTTGTTGTGGTGTAAATCTTGTAGACGCCACGACTCAACGCCTCGCATTCATCGCCGTTTGTGAACACCTGTTCGCCCTTGTAGCCGGCAACAATTGCCGTGCCTGTGTCCTGGCACCCGGGAAGGACGCGAGCTGCCGCAATGTTGGCATTCTTTAGAAGCTGTAGCGCGACGAAACGATCATTGTCGCTCGCCTCCGGGTCGTCGAAAATCCTCCGCAGACTCGCGAGGTGGGATGGGCGAAGAAGATGTTGCACATCGCCAAAAGCCTCCGAGGCGAGCTTCGCCAGTCCCTCCACATCGACCTGCAGGATCTCCGGCAGGCCACAGCCCGGCCTCACAACAGAAACGTAGTCCTTCGTCAAGAGACGAAACGGCGTGTCGTCGTGGGAGACGTGCGGAATAAGCGGGACGTACTTGAATGGCACCGGGGCCTTCTTGCCAAGGGCTGCCGCAGAACGGCGCAGCATTGGAAGCCTCGAGTGATGTGTGCGTCAAAGAAATCTAGACAGCAATGCTCTCTGCAAGATTGCGCAGTAAAAAAAGGAAAGGAAAAAAAAATAATAAAAAAAAAAAGGAGTGGGGACAAGGGACACAATTATACATCCAGGCGCAGGTCTGTGCCTTGAACTCTCCCACCACCACCACCACCAAGCATCAACAACTTTGGCTCCACGCGGCATCCAAAAAGAATGCCAACAGGGGAAAGACTTCAGTCGCCCACGTTTCACTTTACACATTCATCGCACTCACTCATATTTCGCCAAACCTCCATACATCATCATCATTCAACATCAGCATCATCGTGACAAGAGAAGTCACAGCTTTCTTCTAGAAGCAAAACAAATGTGGAATAGTCATCCGCCCTCCCCCAATAATAAAATGCACACAAGCCTATTCATTTTGCCATCACGACAAACCCGATAAATCGCCGCACTGCAGATAGGAAAACTCGGCTGCTACATTTGTATTGCGAACCAGCACAGTACACGTCCCATTTTTCTTACTCCTTAAAAGTGCTTGAATAAATGGCCTACATCGATCCGTCAGGGGATTACTCGACAAATCAAGAAAACTCAACTGCAAACTGCTGCCATCCTCGCATGCACAAATTTGAAATACATCCGCATCTGACAATGAATTATTGGAAAGGTCAAGTTCGCGTACTGATGGAGTTTGCCTTACCGCTTCTGCAATAACTCTTGCACCCTCACCATTTAAATGACAACTCCCAAGTCCCAACACTTTCAATTTCTTGGCACATGGGATACCAATGGCCATGCGTGCAGCACCATCCGCCTCAATAAGGTTGTCCTGTGCGTACAGTCTCTCCAAATTTGGACATTCGGTGAGAAAACTACTCAATACTTTACCAGCGGTGTGTAACAAACGACCAGAAGAAACATTTATGACACGAAGACAATGCGAGGAGTGGAGTCCCGCTTTTAAAAGCGTCGTTAGAAAAGACTCGGTCACGCAACATCTTGACATGTAAATCTCCTCCAGCGAGGCGATGCAGCGTCTCAAAGCAATGGCGAGACCGCGGTGATGAACGGATTCGATGCGATTGCCGCTAACGTCAAGCACTTTGAGTGAAGAGGGGAAAAGAAGCCACTGCGAGTCCTCAAGCGGAATCGCAAATGCCGGAATGATGTCGCTGTCTGCGATTTTCACTTCGACCAACGCCTTCGCCTGAGCGATGCCCTCTGCCACCGCCTGCGCTGCGGTATCGTCCATATGGCAGCGCTGTAATTCCAGCCGCTGCAGGTGGGAGGTGTGTTTCACCATCAGGTTGTAAATGACAGCGCACTCATCGCTGTGAAGGCGCGTGTCACAAAACAACAACTGCTCCAGGACGTCGTTGGGACTTTGGTACAGAGAACGCAAAAGAGTTATGACACCAAGGGGACTAATTTTTGTGGAAGCAATTTCCACCACACGCAGCCTGCCGGCCTTGGGGAATACCGTGGACGCAACATAGTCCGCCACATCGTCATCAAACTTGCCGCCCATCATGCAGAGTGTCTCCGCCTGTGTGATCTGCTTCTCGTTGTGGGTGCCGTTGAGTAGTGCCATGCCAGTCAAGGCCTTCTCGTTTTCTCGAGGCTCCTCTAGCAGAGACGCAGTTGACATGTCGTTCCCATAACCGCCCTCATTGAATATATTCCTCACGCACCGCTGCAATGCCACACTGCATGCCTCCATTTCGAGGGCGGGAGCAGCAAACCACTTTTCTTTTACTCTCAGGGCAATGAGCACCCACGCAAGCAAAAATAAGCCAATATATATTTATATATATATAACAAACAAACAAACAAACAAACAACAACAACAAAAAACAAATGTCATAAATTGAGGCCCACTCATACTCCTAAAGAAATATTTACACATCTCAGAGATGTAAACATTAACACAAACAAACACACACTCACGCACACGTTATTCGTCTCGTCTCCCTCTCTCATGTAGATGTGCGCACATGGATGTATGAATACAAACCTTCTATGAAATAAAGTCCGTAACGAAACCAAAACAATTTAAATGGTGATCATGGTACAAAAAAATATATTTAATAATAACCGGAATCACTTCTAAGAACGACTCAGCACTTTCATTTGCATCACCCTCATTACGATTTCACAACGCCCCCTCTATGTTATTACCCCATTGGCCATATATATATATATATATATATATGTATATAATGTGCATTTTCCCTCCCTATTTTCCCTATATCTTGAGAGCAGCAAGTTTGTTGTTTTCGGCATTATCACCAAAGGCCGCAGAGAAGTCACGGTACGTGACTTTCATGTGACGGAGCTGCCCCTCGCTGGGGTCGTCGTCGACAGATGGGGCAATGTTTTCCTTCGGATTCCATAACATCTCCGCCAGGTCTCCTAGAGAGATGGAAATCCCCGTCAGTGACTGCAGTTGATCCCTGCAACTGCCAAGAGTCAATGTGTGCGTCGGGGGCAAATCCTCCAAATGCCAATGACGCGGCGTCCCCAACGGAGCCTCCGCCGCAACGCGACCCACAAGGCCACGTGCAAGGCTGACATAGAATGCCGTTACGCCGCCCCGTCGGTGCTGCACATGATCACGCACTGCCTGGCAGAAGCGCTCCTGCTGACTGTAACTGACGACGCGTGACGGTGTCCGACTGTCGCCTCTCTTATTTTCAACACTTTCCGGACGTGAAATAATGTCCCGCACTGACGACGAATTGCTTCGCGCCACGCAGCGTAAGCCACTGCGTGGTGGCGGCATGTTCTTCGGGTTCTTGTACGCGTCAGTGATACCTACAACCTGAATGTTCTGCTGCTTTCCTGCAGCATTTTCCACGTGATGAATACCCCGCGGCGTTTCCGGGTGCCTCGGCGGTGTGACGCGCCGCAAGCGCGCCCACAAGAACTCCCGCGTTTCGTGCGACTCGTCGTTGTGGTGCGGGCGGCGTGCCACATGCGGGGTGACCGTTGTTGCAGTCGTGGGGTCTTCCTCAGTAAATATGTTAAGCGTGCCGGCATGCAACCGGCGCGTGCGTTCAAAGGCAGCACGCCTCGAGGTGAATGAAGACTCGTCGTGCGGCAGTGGTTGTATCACTGGTTCCATCCACGCAATGCAAACGGCACACACACACACACACACACGCTTTGTCTCCTTTTTCTTTCACCAGGGGCAAAGTGAAGAGGGAAAAAAAGCAGCAGGAAACAATAGCATCCAGCAGCAATAGTGCGGCCTCTGAGAGATGAACAGAGGCCACCAAAAAATGTAGCAAAAAAAAAAAAAAAACAGACAAAAAAAAATTAATGTAGAAGACGCCGCAAACGAGCATCGTTTAGTCTTTGTCACTTCTCAATACGACCGTGTGAGACCAATAAAAGGGAAAAACACCCGCACGCAACCACGATGAGAGGGACAAAGAGAAAATCATTTATATTAAACACGGCATACATAAACAACAGTGTCGCCTTAGCACGGAAAAGAGCAAAAAATTCCCACCAACGACTCTCAGCTCGAGACCCACGGCGAGCGGCATAGCGGACATACTGTCTGGCCACTGTTTGCCCACCATGAATATAGGCAGTAGGAATGAAGAGCGGCGTTTCGGCACACGGCACAACGCATATCGGGCAGGCGATGATCCACAGCCGACACCACCGCAAAACAGATGGGACACGGCTCCTGACCAGAGAAGTGAGCGTCCATGTTTCTACCAAAAAGTGTCACACACTCCCACACATTGGCAGAACCTCCAAAGAGCAGAACCGTCATTTTTAGCATCCATGAGCGCCACTTATCTGTTGAGACTCCGCAGCCTTTACCACTTTCAAAGGTAACTGCAGGTGGCTTCAATGGAAAGGCGGAGGGAATTTCAATCTTCACCATGACACTTGCTTCTTCCATGGTGTACTTCAGTGTAATGAGTTTCTTGGGTATGCTTACCGCTATGTTGTAATTCTCATTCACGTCGAATGTTGATTCCCCGGATGGACTCCGGCCAAGCACAGTGAGCAAACTCTCTTGTATGAGAAGGGGCGAGATGTGTCTCTCCACAACGGCGTAAAAGAGATCCTGCAGTTTCCGTTCAATCGTCTCCAGCCAGCTCTTGACAACAGACAACATGCTGCTCTGCAGCAGTAAGGCAAAACAAGCAGCGGCGCCCTTTGCCAGTTCCTTCATCGGGCTCGCAGAGTTTGGACGCGTTAAGGCAACGGTTTCAATCCAAGGTGTTTCGCCACCGCCTTTGGGTGTGCTACAGAGATACGTGG